AATCACAAACACTACTGGGAATCAAGAACAGTAGTCTGATGTAAAGTTTGGAGTAAAGCTTAAATTGTAAAGCCCTGCGACTTTTCTCTTTCTCTTCTCCCCTATTCCTTTCCCATTTTCATTCGGTTCTTGCCTCAGATGCATTTCACCTCCTCTCAGGTGCCCCGTTCCTCTGACAAACTCAGCTGCTGTGTGACTCAGCGTGTGCCAGCACACACCCTCACACATCAAAACAAACCCATGGCTAAGAGAGACACTTTCCTTACTGACAGCTCCCTCAACCACCTTGACTCCCAGCTGCCGAAGCAGCTGAAACACAGGGAAAAGGGTGGAATAACAGGACAAGGGGCAACAGGTGCAAGCTGGAGCACAGGAGGTTCCACAAAAACATTAGGAAAAACTTTTTCCCTGTGAGGGTGACAGAGCGCTGGAACAGGCTGCCCAGGGAGGTTGTGGAGTCTCCTTCTCTGGAGACATTCAAAACCTGCCTGGACGTGTTCCTGTGTGACCTACTGTAGGTGATCCTGCTCTGGCAGGGGGGTTGGACTAGATGATCTTTTGAGGTCCCTTCCAACTCCTAACAGTCCGCAATTCTGTGTGAAACACACAGCTGAGGGTGGTTCCAGAGCAGGATTTGAGCAACCCAGGGTGAGACTGGCTTAAGCTGCAGCTGAACCTCACTGTGAGTGACACAGGAACCTGTCCTTCCATGGCTCAGGGCCATCCCATTAACCTACATGTAGAGGGAACAGAACCACGCTGCTATGCTGGGGCTAGCAGGCTCCATCCACACCAAAATTTGGTAGATGTTGCTAAAATCTTTATTTGTCCCTCTGTCTTAACACTGACAGCGGGTAGCATAATGGAATGGAGGCAACGTGAAGCAATTTATCACAACTTGTAAATGGGTTTCAATATGTTTTTCATTTGATTGTTAGTTGATTTGACCTAAATAAGTAGTTCTTGTGCATTCATTACCCTGCACAGTTGCCCTCTGTGGGGGCTTGCCTGGCGATACACAAGCTCAGACACCAGCACATGGCAACTCAGGATGAATCTACAAGATCCTTTGTAGCAATAAGTATTTTTACCCATTATCCAATGCTTAAGAGCTAGGTATTGTCTTTTTCAGATCATTTTACTAATGAATACTTGTTTTGTATGATGTACCTCTCTTAAACCTCTATTACATTTTATTTGCATAAGCATACACACACAAGTCTGCTAAAACATTTCTGTTCCAGCTCCTATCAGCTAAAAAGCAAAGGGTCCACTATGCACTGAGCATAAACAGTACATAAATGGACATATACAGACTTCAGGAACACAGAACAGTACTGTCATTAAGTATATATCAATATATAGAATTATAGAATCATAGAATTGTCAGGGTTGGAAGGGACCTTAAAGATTATCTAGTCCCACCCCCCCCGCCATGGGCAGGGACATCTCCCACTAGATCAGGCTGCTCAGAGCCCCATCCAGCCTGGCCTTAAAACTTCCAGGGATGGGGCTTCCACCACCTCTCTGGGCAACCTGTGCCAGTGTCTCACCACCCTCATGGGGAAGAACTTGATATCTAACCTAAATCGACCCTTCTCTAGCTTCAATCCATTCCCTCTAGTCCTATCACTACCCGACATCCTAAAAAGCCCCTCACAAGCTTTCTTGAGGGCCCCCTTAAGATACTGGAAGGTCACAATAAGGTCTTCTCGAAGCCTTCTTTTCTGCAGACTGAACAGCCCCAACTCTCACAGTCTGTCTTCATAGGAGAGGTGCTCCAGCCCTCTGATCATCCTCGTGGCCCTTCTCTGGACACGCTCCAGCACGTCCATATCTTTCTTGTGCTGTGGGCTCCAGAACTGGATGCAGTACTCCAGGTGGGGTCTCATGAGGGTGGAGCAGAGGGGGAGAATCACCTCCCTCGACCTGCTGGCCACGCACCTCTTGATGCAGCCCAGGACACAATTGGCTTTCTGGGCTGCAAGTGCACACTGATGGCTCATGTCAAGCTTCTTGTCCACCAGCACCCCCAAGTCCTTTTCTTCAGGGCTGCTCTCAAGCCAGTCACTGCCCAGCCTGTACTGGTGCTTGGGATTGCCCCAACCCAGATGGAGCAATATATACAAATGTGCACACAGATAAATATGTGAATAGCTGCACAACCACCACATCTCCACTAGATTCTGCAGAATAGCAGAGACTAATGTCCAGGTATAGAGGTGATGAATGGGTGCTGTACTTATTCATCAGTCAGCAGAGCTGCAGGAGGCAGGAATTAAGGATGTGAACTTGAAACAGGAAGAACAAAAGGAAAGGGAAATTCTAGCTGGAGACAGCGTGGCACTGCTCTGCTGACCCAAGCAGAAAAGGGAACAAGTTGTTAATTACTGGACAAAAAGTTTTGCAAAACGAAGCTGTGTTATATAGGCATTAGTGGTCTTTCCACACCACAAAGAGCTTAAAATATGAATATACATTACATTTAATTATAGAAATCCATGCAACATGTTAGGAAAAAAAAATCCTCTACACACACATACTTAGATAAAAAGCTGTACAAACACATGTATCACTAAGCAAGATACTCTGTTGATTTTCATACTAACTTTTGCATATGTATATACCACACTTCCAAACATTTATAGATCTTTTTCTCTGTCTGCTACTTTAAAACTTATAAAGTGATGAAATTTACTTTTAAAACTGCAGAGACTGCTGCGTGCCTAAGCAAATCATTGTTTCCTGCCTCATAATCATCTCTTGTGTCTGTTAGAATCACTGATGCATTAATTGCTTACCAAAATTTGAAACAGTTCATGAGTCACGCTGAAGATAAAATAAATACATATTAATGAGCCAATTTCAACAGAATACAGGTCCTCTGCCTCTTAAAGCTGAAAGACTGTATTTATTACATGTCAGAATTAGGTTTTGACACCTAATGTATGGGCAAACGTAAAATATACTCGTATTCAGCAAATCAGAAGTGACTGACTAGATCACCATGTTTCAAGGGATCAATGCACAATAGCCTTAACTGACCAAATTATAGAGGGAAAGGACTGGTCAGTTACAGCATAGAGATACAGTGAAAGATATGTCTAAATGAATAGGTCTGTTGTAGATTGAGTGAAAAATGAAATATTTAGCTGTTTAGTCTGGAAGTGACTCTACATGGGGAGATCTTAACACAACAGAAGTAAACACTTGAGCATGAAATGAACACATTGGCACAAAATACCACACATACATTACATTGTGTGAGGGGAGAAGGAGCATATAGAGTGTTCAGGAATATCAATTTCAGAACAATTTGAGAATTTTACATTGGAACAAAGCCAAAACACTGGGTAGAGAGGTCTTCACTTTTTTGTTTTCTTTTTTCTTTTTTTTTTTTTTTCCTTACTAAAATGGAGTGAAATATACTATTTTGGAGAGTAAAGAATTTCACTTTGAAAATATGGATGTGCTGAGTGACTTTTAAGTCTGGGCCAATGATGGTTCACTGTTGAAAATCCAAATCAAACTAAATGACCCAGGATGCAACAGGAAACAGAAGTCTTTCCCTTGAGCCTTTACTTTTTTATTCTAGCTTGTTCCTGAAAATTGTAGGCAAAAAAGATCCCTCAAAAATCTGAGGAACAGGCAATATCCCTAAAATGCAACTGTAGCTCTGAAACATATTAGGAATTACACAGACATCCGTGAGTCATTTTTTTTACACCAAATTGTTAGTCAAAAACCTTTTAAAAAGAAAAAATCACAGCTTTTCTGAAGTGCAGCAGCAGAAAATTGTGGCTAATATAGCTCATTAGTATAAAGCAGATAAAACGGGAAATTCATAGAAAAAAGCAATTTCCCAGGGATTCACTGACTACAGGCAGGATGAAGAATCCATTTTAATAGCCTATGAGTCCTAGGAAGAAATTAAGAATCCTCTATTTATTTTATTAGATCAAGTTATTTATTGTCAGAAGTCACATCAGCTGTTCAGCAGAAGAGATGCTGCTTCAACTTCAGTCAGTCACATAAAGAGGCAGACGGTGGCAGTCCGAGAAGAATTACTGCACCTCGGCTGATGCCACACCACAGTGACACCCAGACACCCTGTTTAGACCTCTGTACACTGTAAAACTAAAAGGCATCTCCCCAGACCAAGATATCCAATCCAACGTCTTTAAGACAGGCTACTGGTATCTAAAAGAATCATAGAATCATAGAAGGATTGTTTAAATTTATTGCTATGTGCATATAAGATAATAATGAAACTATTAAACTATTTTCTGATGTTCATGAAAAACATATTTTTGTGCTCCTGAAAGTTATTCTCAGAATGTCATATAATAATGTCCAATCTGCAAACAAATATTACTGCTGAGATTTAACACTTTCATTTACACAAATGTCAGGGTATTACTCGTTTTATAGAATATTTATGGGATTAGTTTTCTACAATTTACTTTCCTTTCATTACTATTTTAAGCTTCCAACTTAATGACACCTTCCACTGTTCACTTTTGTTCAGAAGAACTTAACAAACACAGTTGTGGAGTTAAAGGTAAAGCTATTCAGTGCATCCACTGAATGTTAACTTCTAAATAAAAAGGGTGAAGGAATAGAAGCTACCATTGGATTGTGCAACTAATATTTTCACTCAGTAAAATTGTGAAAAAAGCTGTGGTTTCATGGGAAGTGGGAACAGAAAAAATCTCACACAGGAATTCTCTTCATTTTGAAAAGCCTTTACTGTAAATGCTGCCAAAATGTTGAACGTCCACTTGATGTTAAACTTGTGAGTAGAATATAGGAAATTAGCAGGTCATATGCATGATTAAAATAAAAGCTGGTAGGGTTGTAAAAATGCATCATCGAATAAAGCTGAACTACAATACAAATGTGTTCATCATCACAAAAAATGGCCAGACAACAAATAATTATCAGTGTTACTTTTCTTAGGGTCACATTTGCACCAAGTGTGGATAAAACCAGCTTCTTACCTGCTCAGATAATTCTGGCCCATTGACACGAGCCTGTATGAGAGCGTCATTAACAAGAGAATGGAAGTTCAGAAGCACCTGCTCAATGTCGTACGTTCCACTCATGGCACTCGAGAGCTCCTCCAGGGACCAAATATATTCCCGCCAATGAAGATCAACCTCTGCCATGTTAGCTAGGCAGCCTCGGATGACATTGAGGCAGTAGCCCATGCAGGGCTTGCTTAACGTCAGCCCTTGGCAATGGGGACAGTACTGCATCTTCAGTAACGCCCTGCTGCAGTCCTTAGAGAAATGCAGATGGTCGGTGGTGTTGATCACTTCAATTCCCAAATTCAGAGCCTGTAAGAAAGTCCGGCTGGGTAACAGTGATCTCCCCATTTGTCCTACGGCCTTCTTGGAAATGTTACCAAAGGGCCTGATGTCTCTTTGCACCGTTCGGAGGCACTCCGCGTATTCCAGCGAAATATCAGTCAGACCAGGGTTTATGACATGGTTGTAGACTACCGGGAACAGGGTATCAAAAAATCTGTTGACAAATTCCTCTGTGCTAATGTCTGTGCCAAATAAGAAGAGTCCAACATCTGTGAAAAACTCCTGAACACGTGCAGTAGCCTCAGCAGCCATGCTTCTATATGCATTGCAGAAAAGTGCGCTTGTATAATTCTCGGCCAGTCTGATAAGCATTTCAAAGGTTTCTGTAATTAAAAAAAGTTTATCATTTTAAAGGTTTAAAAAATAAGAAACTATAGTAAGATCTTCAAACAATTATATCAGAACATCTTACATTTGTCCCAAAAGAATTTTGCATTAGAGTTCATGAAGAGATAAAATTGTCACTAACTGTGACAACTGTTTTTTGAATATAGGCAAGTATCGTTACAACACAATTATAAATCCATATGGTTTCTGGGTAGGATATATTGAACACAATCTAAAAAATATAAAAGCTAATTAATTTTTAAGCTGAGTTATTAGTTACAAAATATGACAAAGCCCTACTGTATCTGTCTACGTATAGACATATGTTAGCTCTCATTCTACAAGACACAGCAGAGTCAGATGCTCTCAGTCACTCTATTCAAAGTCATTCCTCTTACCACCCTACGTGGCTGAGTAAAAGTAACATTAAACAACTTAATCAACTCTTCCATTCCATTCAAACTTAACTTTCAAAACATGAAACAGCTTTGTCTTTTTGTCTTCCAAAGGAAGAAGATGCACCAAACACAAATTGACAATGTGCTTTTAAACAATGCTGTTCAGTCTGGCGATTGCTATGGTCAAGCAAAGAGATGGAACGTGCACAATTGCTCTCCTTGGGCACTGTGATGGATACATTCTCTCTAAGTCTCAAGAACTGCATACCTAAAAAGCCTGAATGGATAAACTTAAATTTTGTTTCATATTTTCGGTGTCAATCCTAACTATACTGAGTAGTTTTCAACAAAAATAGTTAAAGTATACTGGAGAAGTATTCTCTCCTGACTTGATCTGTGATTTGCAGGTAAGGGAAAATGCTGGTTTTCAAATCAGAAAAATAGTGTTTGCATTGAGGAATTTCCTAAATCTGCCTAAGAAGCCTGCACTTCAGGGAAGACAAAGGAAAAATATATAGATCAAAAGGAAACTTACCTTAGAATTGCAAACAAAAATACATAGAAGTACATATGGCAAGTATTAACTCATTTTATCTACTGGATGTCTATAACTCACTAACTTTCATTCATTCAAGCTCTACAAGTTTTCATGTGTTTATTTTTTCAAACTTTTGTTTAGTGGGACTCTATAGAAATAAAGTGAGGAAAAACATGAAGCACAGTTAACACTGTCCAAAGAGTGATGTTAAAAATAGGCAGAATAAAATAATGTCAAACTATGTCAGACAGCTACTGAAGCAATTTGAAGTCTGACATCAAGTTACTGACTGAAAAGAATAGTAGAAAATTCAGACTAATTTTAATATAACAAGACTGGATATCACATCTTTATATCTATGCATAAGAATAAACGTCTTGCATTGTGATAAGTTTGTTCAGGTCAGTGAAATGATTCTTACTGACTTCAGTGGTTTTGAAATTGCAAGTTTTGTGAAAAGATCATGGAGAAGACATAGTAAACTAATCTGCCTATACTTCCTATGCATTGTGTTTTTTCTCCAGTAAAAATGGACACATGCTTATATAGCAGTCATTATCTCTATTCCTCTGCTATTATCTACAAGCTCTTAGTTTCGTATTTCACACCACCGTTGAGACTGATTTTGCTATCGCTCTTTTTCATTCCTCTAATATTCATGTAAGCAGGAAAAAAAAGTGTTGACTACCGGTAGTAAAGAGCAGGAAAATGTGTCACATTTGCCTGTTTTATTTTTTATTACTATGGCACATACATATGTGCATCTCTCCTAAAGTGAATTAATTTCACTATAACCACTCATACATGCCAAGTAACACAGCAATTCAGCAGAGTTTGATTTGTTTCAGAACTCAGACTCCCAGAGTCAGGACCCCGCACGGAGCTGGGTACCCACCACTGGAGACCTATCAACCCAGCAAAGCCCCTTCAGTTTATCCTGTGAGCTGATGGGCTGAGTAACTCTGCAGACCACAGCTGTCTGCATCAACACCGGCTCTGAATTTTCTCAGCCTCAGCAACCTCATGTCAAGGTCATACCTGAGAACCTACACTGCACCTCGTGTTTGTAGGTATGCACGTGTGTATGGGAGACCCATGTCCTTCTGAGCAGCAGATGAGACACAACAGATCAGACAGAGTGTATTGGATTGATCAAGATGCTCACTTGAAGGTAACTGAACTCAATGAGATCTCCAGTGGGTATAAAGGCAGTTTGGAGGTCTAGTTCACACGGAGGCACACATACACGGACAGATGAATTACAGCCCTAAATATCCTACCGTTCATTATGTCTCCTTTTATTGAAAGGAACAAGGAAAACAAGGAAAGTACAATCCAACCACGGCGGCTTTATTTAGTTGCCTCAGAGTGTTTCATACCATTTTCAATGGCAGATGCCATTTAACCGCCTGTCTAGACGGGCATGGGCATCTTCCAGTTCCTGTGGCACATTCACAGGCTTTGTGGGCGTGTTTTGTATTTAGAATCATAGAATGAATCATAGCATCATCAAATGTTTTGTGTTGGAAAAGACCTTTAAAGGTCATGTAGTCCTACCGCCCCTGCACTGAGCAGGGACATCTTTCGATCAGGTTGCTCAGAGCCCCATCCAATCTAACCTTGAACATTTCCAGGGATGAGGTTTCTACTGCCTGTCTGAGCAACCTGTTCCAGTGTTTCACCACCCTTGTTGTAAAAAAATTCTTCCTTACATCTAGCTTAAATCTACTCTCCTTTAGTTTAAAACCCTTACCCTTTGTCCTATCAGAACAGTCCATGCTGAAAATTTAAAATGGTACTAGATGGTTGTGCCTAGACAGGTGAACTGAATTCTAGATACCCAGTTATCTTTGACTCAAGAACCCTTCATATAAAAGCTTGGAGCAGCCAGAATAACAAAGACAGAAATTTAAGTCAAAATGATTCTTGGTTTAGATGTTTTTAAATAATAAAGTGTGAAGAATATTGAAGCCTCCTAGGAAAACAGCTATTTTTGTAACTGCAGATTTAGTCTTTTACACAAATTTTTCCAGTGCTTCAGATGAAAATTACTAACCTAGATAACATTAATAAAATAATGATCTTATAATAATCTCTTTAAAATAACATGAATAAGGGTTTTATGATCCTGTTCAATTTTTTATTATTACTTTTTCCTAGATGAAAACCATAAAGTATGTGATCTAACATGTCTGTTACAATCCATGGCTACCAAGAGCACAAATATTAGAGGAAAGAATAAATCATGCTGCATATGGAAAATCAATAGATTTTACAATGTGGTCTAAACAATAACAAACCTTCAGGATTGAACTACAGTGCTAGTGCCCCAGGACCCCACAGATGAACGAGTTACAATAATCAAGTGCATGATTTATTGAGTATTTGTGCTTTTCCAAACAGCATATGATAACACTGGCCACCTATGTTTGCGATTCTTCATCATGCTGTTTAATCATCATTTCAGGATTTCTCACAGAATTTGTTCATCAGGTTTATTCTAGTGGCATGTTTCCTACTTTATAACCACCGAAGTTATTCTAGAGATTTGTTTTCTTCTCAGACAGCCTGAGGAATGACAGACAGCAAAGCAGACGTATGTTTACTTCCAACATTGTACAGCTCCTGTAAACACCTTAGGATAGCAATCTATGTCATTTACAACACTTTCAGAAACTTCAATAACAAATCAAGTTATGCTGGTTCAATCTATGATTCTATGATTCTATGAATTGGGCAAGCGTCTCGTAGATTTAACAATGAGTTTATCTATCTTTTAGGTCTTTGTGCCCATCATTATCAGTCTTAATTATTCAGCCTCATAAAAGAAGTGGTGAGTTTTCAACCAGTATAAATCCAATATCCATATATAAGACATTTTAAATGTACCCAAGATGAACCAGACAAGTTTTTAACGTTATTAGATGATTTTTTTTCATCAGCAGGCTCAGTGTCTCTTATCTCCAGCCTTTATGAGATCCTCACAGTAACCACTACACAATATCCTACAAATACCTTCTGCAGCACTACTGTGAATAATGCCTAGCATTTACCAGGGGTGACGTCAATTTTATTTTTCTTTGACTATACTTAGAAGTAAGATTTGTACACTTCTAAGTCAAAAAACAAGGCTGTCAATAACAGTAATATTTCCCTTCCTGGTTGTGATAAGAAGGAACAAAATACAAGGCTAGGAAAAAAATGTAGATGAGCACTTGTTTATGTATTGCATTTATTCAGCTGATTCTTCATATTAGCATATATATTTTATTATTTTTTTAATACTGTATTTAACAAAACAATCACAAATTATGCAGAATAACTATGAGGTCATTGCTTTAGAACATTTGCAAGCTTTCATTCAATTTTTTAACATTTCTGCTCCTGAAAGTCATGGGTAGTACCACAAAGTAGTAATCAGTCCAGTGGATTACTGGCTTTAAAAGACAACCCAAAAGCATACACATGCCTTGTTTACTCAAACAACTCACAAAGCGAACAAAAAAGAAACCTTGTTTTTTATTGCTGGACGTTAATTAGATCTAATGGAAATACCATGCAGAATGCAATAGAATTTGGACTGAATTTTAAACCAGCCTTGCAAATTCTCATCTTTAGTAGTTTTGACAAAGTGTCTTTCTACTATAGGTATCTTAGAAAACTAATTTAAAACAAATTCCCAGGGAATCTTCTTGTAATAAGAGCAACTGTATTTTCTTAAATTGAACTTTTCTTCACACAGACAAATATTCTATACAAGCTGCTAAATGAGAAACTGTATGGTCTAAATTCTGAGTATTACCCTTTGAAACATCCACAGTATTTAACACAAAGGTAGCCTAATAAATTAAAAATCTGGTATTAGCAGTGCTCCAACAAATTGTAAAGTGTTATAACTCAGTAGTAACTCAGCAGTTTCTTTATGTACTATAAATTAATTCACATTTAACCCAGTAACATACAGAACTCAATAAATTATAACCAGACAGGTTAATATCCATCTTTGACCTATGGACATAACATTTACAAGGAATATCTTTCATATTTAAGAGGGGATCCA